TGAAGTGTAAATATTATTGCAAATGCCAGTTTCTAATTTATCTTTGCATGGTAGCAATGACCTAAGGACTCCTGCATGTCCTCTTTCTCTACATTAAATACATTTCAGAAACCAACTGTATTTGTTGTGGGGAGGACTCAGAGGTCTGGCTCCAAATAACTCAATGGCCAAAGTGTATCTTATGAAGGATTCAGGATGATTGGGAGAGAAACAAAAAACTGTTTTCATGAGCTGTCTGAGGCCTCTGCCTATGTTCAACATACAAGGGGAAGATCAACATTCACAGGAAGTATGGTTGGACTGAAGAAGAGGGTCTAGAACACCTGTATGAGCAGTATGTTCTCAGGGCGGATGCAACGCAGCAGGAAGTGGTGTGAATTCCAGCGCCCTCTGGACAACCAAGAGGAGAAACCTCCAATCGGTAGGGGGAAAAAAACAAAAAACCAAAGTATCTGCAAATTAATATTGTAACTCACACTGCCTCTTTGTTTTACAATTCTCCATTCTCTCCCCTCTCCTCACTTTTGTTCACGGTCCCTAACAAGTGTGTATCCCAGTTGGCAGTCAAATGCAAATAACTCACTCAGCCGTCCACTTGACTCTCATGTTCTGTTGATAAGAGAACCAGCCCAATGACAGGGGACAGAGACCTGAGTCAAACCCATTCTGTCACTCCACATTTTCAGAAGCATATGCCCCTCTGAGGTTACCCAATAATACAGTCCTTAGATTACCTCTGCATTGTTTTTGTTTGTTTGTTGCTTTGCTTTGTTTTTAAAGAAAGAGAGAAAAAGAGAAAAGATAGAAAAAACAGATGTTAAAATATCTGGAACCAAAATGATCAGTATGTTTTCTGAAGTTGGAAATTGTTGTTTTAATTCTCCCTTTGGGTAGTTTCCAGGTAAAGGGAATTGTATGATCATTAACCTATTTTCAAGTTATTTAAGCATGCCAAAGTATGCTCACACATGAAGGGCTGAGGCACTAAGATGTAGGAAAAACACCAATCACTTTTTCTGCTGTTGCAATCAAGGCATCACACACACTATCAAACTGTAAGTGACTAACTGGGTATTAGCTTTTAGGAATGCAACAAAATTACATCGGCATAGATGTATCTGGTGTTCAAGGATAAGAATTTCAACACTAGAAAGGTGCAATGAGAGAACAAGAGGAATCCACTATTCTACATTTAAGATCTAAACCTGCACAAGGATCCATACCTGGTGATATATTGGGTTTTATTTATTATTTTTAATTTCATTCTTGGTAATCAATCAATAAATATCTAAACATGTGAACTGAATCCAGTATACTTTAATCAATATACGTGTCCCATTTTCTCTAATTCTGTAAAGATAAAATGATTGAGAAAAGGTCTGACAAGTGAAAATACAGTTATAGATATTTGGAGCCATAGAGATTTTAGAGATTCTCTCTTCAACTCTCTCATTTTATCAATGAGAAAATAATGTCAACTTTGAGGAGTTAACATCGACTGAATTTAGTTACATTAAAAGTGAATTTTCTCTCATATGTTTTCCTATTAAACCATGAGTTCCATGAAGGCAAAGACTGGGTCACTTAGGTATATATAGTCATACAGTAGGTGCATATGCAGTGTGTATGTATGTATATATGCATGTGTGTATATGTATGTATATAGTATATAGTAGATACACTGTAAGTACACAGCAAATGTTGAATGACTCAATGAAACTGATCTCGACTTTCCAAGATCTCAAAGAGCTAGGAAAGGAGTCCAAGCATCTTGAATCGTAGCATTCTCTAAATGTTCCTACTCTTGGAACTTTTATATTGGAAAATAGTCAAGTACCAACATAAACTCTTCCCAGTCTACAACTTATGCTTTATATTCTACGCAACTAATTAAGTTGTAATATTTATTTCTTCAAATAATAATTGAATTTTAAAGTAAAATCTTAAGGAAATTATTCCTATAACATTTTCTCAATAAAACAGTCACATTTTAAGTCCATTATGTAAATCATTATTTTCTCTTTTCTTATGAAGATGTTATTTCTTGTAAAGCAATTTTAGTATGAGAAATAACCATATAATCATGACTCATTACTACTAAAATTAGTATCTATAGGTAAAGCCATTCTTTCAGAACAAAATTTGTGTTCATAGTAAGCCTGCAGAAAGGGAATCAAGTCTGTTCTATGTTTATAGCTTTATAAAGGTAATCTGTATAGGGGCTTTAAGAACAATACAGTAACAGAATTTCTTTAGGTTCTTTTATATAAACATGTAAGAATCTTACTGTTTGCATAACTTGGGACATGATTTCTCAGTCCTGTTGTCTTATTGGTAGCCAGAACCTTAACAAGTACCTATAAATGGTCATTTTTATACCTTATAGTAACTTCTCAATTCTATGTACAGAAATCCTAGTTACCTATGTGCAAAAGTATTAGCACCACCAAACTTTCTCATTGACTATCAATAAAATGATCAATTATGTTCAGTAACTGTAAATATTATATAGAATAAAAATTTAAAATATGGCTCTGTTCTATATTAAATAAAAATCTCAAGTAAAATGAGTAACATAAATGTTGTAATTCTTTTAGTTAGATAATACTATTACTTATTCAACTAAAGTATTCCTTTTTAAATAAATTTTGGTTCTTAAAACGGTAACGGATAAATATTAATATATTTGAGAACTTTTGTTTCAAACATAAGAAGAACATCAAAATACAATATTGTTTTTGTATTTCTCTTCATCAACACTGGGGATAAAAAAACAAAACAAAACAAGTGTTTTGACCATCCAGTTTCTTTCTTCTTGGTAACAAACCAAGAAGAGTCCAAGAAGAATCCAAACTCATATTTTATAATTCCTTAAAAGCTAGGAAATAAGATAACAGAAAGAAAGAGAGGCAAATAAGTGGTTTTCCAGCGCCTGGGCCTGCTGTATTCATTCTGAAAAGCTAATGAACAAGTTAAATTTTCTAGCAATGCAATGTTCCAGATATAACCACAGGAGAATAGAAACAGGAGTGCTTATATTTGGTTGTAGCAAGCATTGCATATTATAGAAGAGTACAGGCTGGGATATTTGTATACATATATAGAAATCAGTTGAAAATCCAATTTTGCAAAATAAGAATTCCCTTTTCAGGGAGGTAAAAATCCATATTTAAATACAGTTAGCATCCAAGGTCATTCAATAATGCCTTATTCACATTTCAGAAGAAAACATTCATCCTTTACAAGAGTAGACTTTTAAAGAATATGACCACACATGCATACACACAAAATAGTTTGTATCAATTTCTATGTTCTGTTCTGGAGGAAAGATGCTGGTGAAAACTTTAATAAAAATAAATCATTAAAACAAGAGGAATCATAATATGTTTTCCAAATTTCATCCATTAACAACCTACAGTAATTGTAAAAATCTACTTGACTATGATTTGGTAATCTCTTAATTTGAGTGGCACATCTGTAAAATATTTAATGTTGTTGCAAACAATAATACAGTTTTTAGGGGATATTTATTTCTGTTTTTTTTCCTTTAGCTCATTTTTTTTCTCCCTAAGTTCACTGATTTTACCCCTTCTAATTTTAAATTTATTTTACTAGTTCTTATCCAATATGGGGACTAAAAATATAAGAGGCTAACGATTTTAGAGACATTTCACTTGTTCCAAAAGACAAATTCATTTGACGGAGGCAAATCTGATCACAGTCACAAAACAGGGCTTCATGGGAGATTTCTGCAAAGTATGGCAAGGAATCATACACTGAGTGAATGGCTACTGACAGAAAGTTAGATCCCTTGTATATGTTCTATTACTACTTCTTTTTTTTTTTTTAAGATTTTATTTATTTATTTGAGAGAGAGAGGGAGCACAGGAGAGGGGGAGGGCCAGAGGGAGAAGCAGACTCCCTGCCGAGCAGGGAGCCCGATGTGGGACTCGATCCTGGGACTCCAGGATCATGACCCGAGCCAAAGGCAGTCGCTTAACCAACTGAGCCACCCAGGCGCCCCTCTATTACTACTTCTTCATGGTAAATCAATAAGGAAAACATTAACATTCATACTCCCTGAATATAGAAACTGAGGCTTGCTGAGGTCAGAAACTTTTCTAAGATCACATGCAGTTATTAAGAGAGAAAGCTAGAATAAAAAACCAGAGTATGACTTTCTCTAAGACTCGTAAGATTTCCCTGCTGTCTCCCAAAGCTTAGAGACTCATTAGGCTGATCCCCCTCACTGAGGCCCAGGGATAGTGAAGTCACTTCCCTGAGAGCATAAAACCAAGTGATGAAAGAGTCAAGCCAAAACAATCCTTGTTTGCTTCACTGTCCTATATGGCTTTAGCTTATTTTTAACCCCCAAGGCACACTTGAAATAAGGAGATGTTTCTAGAGAACTGACTTCTGGCATTAGGCTCCTTATCTCCAGCCACACCTAGTCTAATTTAAGTCCTTTTGAAAGTTATATCAGCTTTCCAGGCCAGGAAAACATTAATCACTGGATAACACTGCTTCATAAATATAACCTTATTGGACCTCAAGAAGGGCCTTTGATGTCTATAATTCATAAGTGCAAAATAGGGATGATGATGAAACATCCCATTCTAATTAATCTATCAGGAAGCAAAGTCTCTCCATTCCACCTCTTTCAAGGGGAAGGTTTTGTTCATTCCTTCAATCAGTTGTGGCATCTAGCACATTATGTCCTATACTGGTAAATATAAGTAAATAGACATCTTTGCTTCCTGATGGGACAGCCTTTAATCATTGTCACATTTATAAAACTGTGTGCTATTAGTAAACCAATCCTTCCTTTAATTAATTCAAGTGTGGTTGAAGAAGATGCGCAATCCATGCTGCTCACTCACTGTGCTCTTCTGGAACATTCCTTCACATGGAAACCACCAAGCACCCAAGGAAGTGAATGAATGGGGCAAGCGAAAATTACACGTGTAGGGAATGAAATAGTGAACCTTTCCGTGACTTACCCTTGAATTAACTACTTCCAGGGAGACGTTCTGAGGCGGGGCACTTGGCACTAAAAGGAACAAAACAAGGTGAGATGGTTACTGCCAAAGTCAGAAAAGAGAAACTACAACCCTCTGTGAAAAGAGAGAGCGTGACTTTCACAGTTCATGATGGTAATTAGGTAGGCTGATCCAGGTGGCACTTCAAAATTTTCCTGGGGAGATGAAAAATAACTGCCTCTGTTTATTTTTTCTCACTTGGTAGGGCCAGGCATCCATATAGGGAGCAACGCCCCCCCCCCCAAATTGTTAGGCAAGAGAGCACCTGCCGTGATACCAAATACTGCCATTTAATTACGGCTTTCTTGTTATAACCTTCCCAGAGAAACCAATAAAAATACACAGGAGATTTCCTAGAGTGGTTCTAAAGGCTTAAGATATTGTGTATTTCAGGATCTGCATGGTTTTATTATAAAATATGTCATTCTAATGGTCACTCATGTTGCTTAATCCCCTTACTGCAATCTTTATTATCTCTTAAAAAGTGAAAAGAAGAAATACATGTGTCTTTTTATGTGTGTGTAATTAAACCTATGTGTCATAGATGCAAGCAGGTTATCAAATAGCTTTCAGTGAGTCAATTCCATGAACAAAAAACAACCAGTTTTTTTTCTTTGTGGATTTTCTAGGTACTTTTTTTTCTCTTGTCTGCATTTTGATTGCCCCTTTCCTTCATGGAAGAAGGAAGAACATGTACAACTTTCTTTATAATACTTGTAGTGAATATTTACTATATCAAAAGGTGAATATCATCACGTGAGTAATTCAGACACCATTCACTAAATGGCCGTGCTGTGTCAGATACTTCCTAGATGTCTTAGATGAATCATAAACAAAATAAAGCTTTCTGCCCCACAAAATAGAAGTAGCATTCAATAAATGCTTAACACGTATTAATCTGTAAAATGAGTAGTCCCTATTTTGTTCATGAAAAATTGATTAATTCAACAGAGAAGAAATGCTCTCAGCATTTTCAAGAATTTAAGGGCCCTCTTCTGTTTGAACTTGGACAATTTCTACATTTCTTGAGGGTACTTATATTTTACCCTGAATTCATTTATGCCCTACTCTGAGTTTACCTTTTGAAAAGTAATCACCATAAAAAAAAAAAAAAAAGAAAAGAAAAGTAATCACCATGAGGGCACGATACATGTCTGATTAATCTTTACAGCCCCCAAACTGACATTCAGTTAATAGCTACTGACTCAATGATTACATGAACAAATAAATACTTACTAAAATATTAGCTCCTAGGCCTTTCTGGACACCATAGGAATTACAATAAATTACTCTGTTTTCATTTTGAACTTCTTATCTTAGTACTTGGTGAAGGTTGTGGGCAATGTAACTTGTAACAAAAAACACTCACCGGAGGCTTGTTTTCATGAATTAGGTCAACAAGAATTCTTTCAGAAAATATTTTATAATTTAAGGAATAGACTTTATTATTCAACTTATTTTAATTCATATTATATTTCCTTTCAAATACAGAATATAATCCCCACAGGGTCCAGGATTCTTGTCCCTTTAGATGCTGAATCCTCAGTATCAATAAGAGTGTCAAGTATGTGGGTTACATGCAGCAAATTTGTGTTGAATTAATTAATTAACAGAGAGATTATAAGACATAATAAAACGTTTTTCATACTCAGAGTTTTCATCATAACAAGCTTTCTTTTTGCGGTTTTATTTTTTTTAATTAATGTATGACATTCATATGGTATAATGCACAAATCGTGTATGCATGATTGGATAAAGTTAAATGTCTGTGGGTGTGTTCACATTTAAACACCACCTAGATCAAGATATAGAATATTTTCAGCATCCTGGAAAGTTCTCTTGGGTCCCTTCCCAATCAATACCCTTCTAAGAGTAACCACTATTCTTCTGACTTCTAACACCATTGATTAACTTAGCTTGCTTTTGAGCTTACTAAAAATGAAATCGGTTATTTTGTTCAAGCTGCTTTCTCTTGCTCATTATTATTTCTTGGGATTCATTCTCTCTGGTGCATCTTGCAGTAGTTTCAGTTCTTTTCTTTGTTTTTTAATTGGTCCTATGTATTCTAATACATGACCATCCTATTTTATATAAACTCATTCTGAAAGCATTAGATTACTTTCAGTTTAGGGCTATGAGAATAAATCTGCTATGAAAACTTTTGTACATGTCTTTTTATGAACAACTATACTCATTTCCTTCATTATATACCTAGGACTGGAAAACCTGGTAGCAGTGGAAACCCTTATGGGGGTTATAGATAGTTTAAATATAGCAAATTTCCAGAATGTCCATATTCTTACCAATCTTTGTTTTTTTCTGAATCTTCTTCATTTTAGTCACTTGGTAGGTATGTAGTGTTTTTATTTGCTTTTCCCTGAGGACCAGTCACTTGGAGCATCTTCTTACATGTTTCGTGGCATTTGGATGTCCTTTTTCATGGAGTTCTTAGAGTATGTGTGCTTTTTTTTTTTTTTTAACAGATCAGTTTCCTTCAAAACTCATTTTCTAAAATTTTCATTCTTTTATATCTTATATTCCATTTTCATGTTACTATGATTAAAACATTAAGATTTTTTTTCTAAAGCTAAAATAGTGAGAAGGGCTCTCCTGCATTTGGCAACCTTCCTATCTTCTCGACTCTTCCCAACTGTTACATTAATGAAATGGACTTCCCTAAACTACCTTCACAGACCCATGGACATCCCATTCCAGTTTTCAGGAAAGGGTATAATGCAGAGGCTTTAATAAGACCATCTCCACATTCTATTTCTAAAAGAGGAAATATTAGAGTAGGCTGGAAATAATAACAATGTGTCTGATCAGAAAAACTAAACAGAATGACATCCTCACAATGAGGAAGAATTTAATATAATCCATATTCAAATTATTCTGTAAAGCATTGAAAATTAAAATAGGCACCGAATGAAAAAAATGCAAAGTGCTCCATCATATAACTTCACAAACTTGGAGCACACTGGCTATTCTGGCTTTACCTAATCAGGAAAGAAAGAGAGTTTCTCCTAGAGCATTTTTAGTTATCAATCTCCACTCCCTCCCTCTCACTATCAATTCCCCTATTATTGAGATACAGTAGATAGGATTAGATGCTTGGTGGAAGTAAATGGAATCCACATTTATTTGAGCTTTTCTTTATTTGATTTCCCAAGATGTTTCATTGTCTCATGAGGGGAAGAGGAAGGCCATAGTTCATTTTTTTCTCTTCAAAATGTCAAGCAATTATCATTTACAATTGTTCATTAAAGCCAATCAGAGTCATTTGGTCCAGAAACTCCCCTCAATATGGTGACACATGCTGGTTTGATACATATGATGATGATGCATTCTGTAGAGTAGATAAAATTCCCACATTTGTAAATGAATCTCCATATAGACAGGCACTTGAATTCCTCCCCTTACCAAATGTGTGCTGTCCTGTACACATAATTTATAGGTTGAAATAACCGACATATAATTACGGGCTTTGTACTTCAAGCAATTAACATGAGAAATTCATTATCGAATAAGAGAAACTCAAGATTTTTTCACATTAAATCTTGCTTCTTTTCTTACTAGTGACCTGGCCTGCTGCTCACTAGCTTTGACCTCTTTCTAACAGTTTTGTCATCTGTAAAGTAGGAAAAAAATTATAGTATCGTAAGGATTAAAGGTTCATGCTGCTAAGTGACTAGCGCGGGGCCTTGCACTAATAAGTACTCAATAAATACCAGTGACAACAGCAAAAAGTACATTCTTATAGTTGAGTTTGCCTATGAAATTGGGTCCTTCTACTTTTGGGCACAAAGCAAGCTGGCATGGAAATTCATAAATATTAATTGATTCATAAAATATTTTAATGACCTACAGTTGTCAACTAGTTCAAGAGACAGTATTTGAGAACAAACTGGCAAAATTAGTTACACTCCACACTAAATATTAGACTCCCTAGATCTGATATTCTAAAATCCCAAATGGTTTAAAGAAGTGGATTGTTGTAAACAAAGGATACAATAAGTGGGGGAATCTGAATGAAAACCAATTTTTCTTCCCAGAAAAACAACGAAAGTGGGCTAAGTTAGAGATGACAGCTTACCAGGATAAACATCTTCACATTTTATTCCAGCATTTTAGCATGGAATACCACTGGGATAATTAATTCAGAAAAAAAACCAAAACATTATTTGCATTTTATTTTGTTTTTATTCAATTTTTTATGGTCCCAATATAAATTTTTGTGCTAAGGGTTCCTCTGACCTGATAAGAAACACAGTGTTCTCTGTAACACAGATGCACTTAGACACAGTTATCTATTAAATTGGCCACATAAATGGGAAGTCCTAAAGATAAGTCTACACATGCTAACAATTGTATTGTTTCCTGAACTGTCTGATTAATTCAGTAAATATTTACTGAGATGATGAATGCGGAGACGAATATAGCAGCATCCCTCACATTAAGGAACATGTAGTAAAAGGAGAAAAAATGACATGTACATTGCCATAGATAGCATTTATTGAACACTTAAAAATATGCCATGCTCATATTTTAGGTGCTCACATGGATTAACCCATTCAATTTCCACATTTCCCTTTTATAACATCCAGAAAGTCAAGGAGAAGACAGCTTCACGACTAAGGACTGGGAAGTAGGAGGCTCTGAGATGTGATGAAATACATCTCTGTATGATGTGTGACCTCCACATGGCCAGCTTCAATAGAGTGAAGACAACAGATTGAGCAGAAAGAAGGGGACTGGATAATAAGAGAGGAAAAGCCGAGAGTGCAGGGGATTTTGTTGGAAATCAAAAGAGATGAATTGATTGTGAAGAGGGATGCAGACCAGGTCCAGGAGCCCACTCCAAGGGGGCCACTCAGTTCCTGCTTTCTCCTATCAAATGCATTGATAAAGACAAGTTGGTATCTGTTGCATAGTGACGCTTGTTGGGTTAGGGTCTTGAAATCCTTTTATTTAGTGACAGGCATTTTCTAAGTCCTAACTGTTGCAACACTTGGAGATAATAATTCTTGGACTAATGAGTAATAATCTACCTCTCTCACTTATGACATTTAAAACCAAAGTGAAGAATAAGGCCACAGTATTACAGTTCAGAGTGTGAATGAAATCTACATAAATTATGTAAAATATTCATTTTCATTTGTTTTCCTTTTATTTTTATAATTATAAGTTGTGAAGTAATTTATTCTGCCAATAAATATTCTACTCTGTCTTCAATAAGAGAATCAGATGGATGGGCATTAAAAATGATACTGAAGTGGTGTCACATATAATATAAAATATTTTTTTAAGTTGAAATTGCAAATGAACATCACTCTTGTGTCTTTGCTGCACTGTCCTTAATAACATGCATGACCTTCCTCGATCCACTGATATTGTGTGAAATACCCACCCAGATACTTTTCCAGATTAAACAATGATGGATTGGTTAAGGAATCACAGGTTAAAGTCTTTTTTCCCCTTGAAATTCAGAAGATCAATAATTTATAGAATTATATACAACAGTATGGAAACCTTGCTGAAAAGAGATAGCTTGTTGCCTTTTTAATATTCATGGAGGCCATCTCTGCAATTCTACACCTGCCTGAATTTCCACTGGCCCCATATCATATACTCTGCTGACCTTTATTTTCACTTGTCATTAAATTTCCCGACATTTCCTTATCCTTTTCTTAGATCTCTAGTTTCCTCTGCTACTGCTTTGCCAAATCCATCTTTTTCATTAAGAGTTCTTCCTCTCTTTTATGATATTTCAGAAAGTATATCTAATATTTCACTGGTTAGACAAGGTACAACTAAAATTATGCATTGTCCTATTTAGTTTCAATACCTTCAATGCTGGATTATTTGGCCTAAATCCTTAAAACATATTTTCAAATTAAGTGGTATATGTAGGAGGACTGTCCATCATTTACACTTTTAATCATCCACCCCCCCCCTTAGAATGAGAAATAAAAAGAAACAAACCAATGTAAATGAGCCCACACACATGCACAAATGTGTTTGTGTTTATAGACATAAAGAGACCCCTCCCCCCATAAATAATTTGAACTCTTAGGCAGTAGCCACACTTTTGAAGATTACCTATTAGGACATCCTGACACAGAGTATATAATATACCTTTTAAAGTTTAACTTTAACTGTAATAGATAGTTTGAGTGAACGAGTCAAAATTTTAATTTATGCTAATATATGCCATAAAATTTTAATTAGAAAGCCTTGGAGATGCAATCTATGACATACATGCAATATTAAGTCATCATTGTCAAATATGCGAGTCAAGTTTCACTGTCTATAACTTACCGTCAGAAAGTGTAACCACTGTTATGTCATCAGTAGATACTCCTGGCCCATAGCGATTGTAAGCTAGGAATCGAAGAGTATATTCCGTGAATTTTTTCAGGCCTTCCAGCTTATAAGATAGTCCATCAACCTCTATATTCTGGAGACATAAAATGCCAAACTGTTATTCAGGAGGCACATTAAGGCAGAAATGGCAGCCATTCTGTGCAATCAGTGAATTGGATATTAGACTCTTACTCACTAAACTACGTTCTAGCCTCATAATGAGTTGTTGTAAAACCTAACTTGTGACACACACTCCCCACTAAATCCCAAACCATTCTGCAGACTCCTAGTTAAAACAGCACTGTGCTATTTTTACAGTCATTAAGTTCCAATGTGTTTAATGCCACCCAATACATTGAATGGTGTGCCGTATTCCGCCCACACCGAAACTCTGACAGGCAGAAGGCAGCCTGTGAATCCGTGGGAATAGAGTTGCTCCTCTACCCTAAGTGGAATAATTCACTAAGAAACAGTAGATTTCTTCCTTCCCTTGCTGAAATATAACCACAGTTCTTGAAACTGACAAATCCTTTGTCACAATCTTTGTGTCTCACAAGGCTGTGAGGTGGTTTGGAATGGTTTTCAGTACTTCACTGATGCAGAAATGAGGTACTAGAAGGGACGGTCATTGAGAAATCAGAGCCAGTGTATTCTAGAAGACATATTTCACTCTCCACAATGATGGTCACACTCATATTTGTCTCAGGTAACATCATTTCTGAATTTATTTAAGTGGGTTGGTGAAATCCATTATGGAAAAGCCAAAAATGTGTTGAAAATGGAGAGAATAGAAAGATGGAAGCAAGAGCTAAATTGCGTGAGGGCAGCAAACAAATAAAAGATGGGATGGATAATTATATAGAAGGAGATCTTAGTGATTCCTATTGTGCAATAGAACTTAGGGGCTTGAACTATTTCTCAATTGGACTGTTGCCAACATTTTTTTTTTTTTAAAGCAAAATCTCTATCATGCAATTTATGTGGAAGCATGAAGACCACTGTATGCTTGGCAAGTTTCATAACACACTCAAAGAACTCTGTTATCCCAAGGTGGGCTCTTGGTTTTTCTTATTTAACTGCTGACTTGCCTATAGATCTTTTTCTGCATGAGGTTGAGAATCTGGAAGTAAACATCTCAGTAGTCACATATGTGTCACAAAACAGAATTGCTGAGTTTCATGTGTGTCCCCCTAAATACTTATTTATCTGAAAATCTAATTTTCCTATTTTCAGGGGTCTGTGCAAACCACAGATTAGAAGCAAAATGTAAGAAGGAGCCAAGTAGACTTCTGGAATGAGGTTTCCTGAAAACAATGAAAAGTGATAGGGGACTACAACCTCATGGTGAGGAAAGGACAGAAATAACCCAAACACATAAGAATGAAAAAAAACAAGTTGACTGAGGTCATTGAACAAAAAATCAGTCATCCTTAAGATAAGGACTCACGATGCAAATGCTTTCTAGGACCAGCTGAGTTAATACAAATGTGGCTAATGATTGTCACAGGCCACTCCCTACTCAGACAAAAAAGAAAAATGACATCTTTTATAGTGACTTTATCTCACTGCCCAATTGTCTTTCTTACAATCAGAATTCAATTAAATTGCTTAAAGTTTCTAATAACAAGTATTTTAAAGCTCATCAGCTATCCAGTTAACATTCTGGACTGGACTGTACCAAGAATTTGCAGATTTCCTCCTATGGCTCTGGTCCTAGGACATCCAATAGGTGGCAGCATTGGGCCCATTCCCTTGCCTACCTGTTCCTTTCCCGTGGACACCTCAGTGCAGAACAATCTGTAACCTTGGACTGGACCGTTTGCATAGGCAGGGGGTTCCCAGGTAATAAGAATTGAGGTAGGTGAGGTAGATACAGCTTGCAGGTTTTCTACTGGCCCTGGAACTTGCACTGTGTACAAAAGAAATTGATTAGTCTAAGAGGGTTCTTTTAAAAATAAGAAACATACATTTTTATAGCTTAAAGATATTATAGCCCTATGTACTATTTTTAGAACCAAATGGGATAAGAAAATAAAATGTAAATATAAAGTAATAAATTTCAGAATCATTTCACTTTGAGATTCAGGAGGGGACTTATATTAATCTAAATTACTTATTTCATTTTTACAGTGGAGAAAAGTGGTCAAGGAATCTAAATGACTAGGAAAATGACAGAAAAAGTGGTGGATTCTTAATCTAAATTCTTAGTATGGAAAATTTTCCACTATGCCAGTACGCCTTTGCTTGTAATAACCACAGAAAGGAAAAAGAGAAAATACAATTAGAATATTTGTACATCGTGATTCTACTTATAATTCAAATAAGCAGCACAGCTATGGATAATGTACCACACCTTTATTTATGTCAGCATTTTAAAATCTTGACCAATTCTGAGTCCTTTAAATTAATTTTGGCATCAATTTTCAACTTCACTTTCTAGTATTCCATTTTCTCTCATAACTGCTACTTTACTTAATCGAGAATAAGTACCTTGTTCATTAAAGAAATTATATAGCACAGGTCCACAATCGCTTAACCAAAACACTTGTGTCCAGATGTGTTTTGAGATCTAGAAATTTTCAGATTTTAGAAAGGTAATCTGGTACCTGGGCAAGGTTATATTTAACACCCCCAGTGGGGTCTATGGTAGCACCCTGTTATCAAATCATATATTTGCAGCAAAATATATGATATTCACATCAAACAGAATTATTAAAGACTATACATAGCATAGCATTAGCTCAGATCAAGTTTGGGTATGACATGAGTTAAGAAACTCTCAAATTCCAGATTTGCAAATTTTGAATTTGTGCATAATTTTTTATTTATGGACCCAAATATAAGGTTTGTCAACTGAAAATCCAATACCCATGTTAGTTATCGTAAATTAAATGGTTTCATCATTGCAAATATAACAACAATTTTATCTTAAACACACTGTACATTTTCACACTGTACATTTTCTCCAGGCTTAAATACCACCTAGCTTTGAACAGATGCACAGTTTAGGCCTCTAATAGAATTTTGTGAGTTTGAATGTCCGGAGTAAAACAGTATGTGAAAACCTGGCTGACAGAGATCTGATAACACAACTCCTTAGATCAGCGCTGGGCCTGTGTCCCTGAATCTGTCATTTTTCAGAATGCGTTCCATGGTATCCAGCCTCCTTAAGGCATCACTGCTCACACATTCATTTGGGGGAAATATATATATATATTTGTGTGTATATGAATATGTATATATATATTTATTTATAAATTAATATAAAAATATTTTAGATATATTTTATTTATCACCTTCACATATTTTCCCACCAGTCCCCAGATCTTAAGTATCTCTATTATTGACATTTGCTTTATTTCACCTTAACAAATGATTGCTAATGATTTCTTTTTTTTTTTTAAGATTTAATTATTTATTTTTTTGTCAGAGAGAGAGAGAGAGAGCACAAGCAGGGGGAATGGCAGGCAGAGGGAGAAGCAAACTCCCTGCTGAACAGAGACCTTGATACGGGACTTGATCCCAGGACTCTGGGATCATGACCCGAGCCAAAGGCGGACACTTAACCCACTGAGCCACCCAGGGTCCTGATTGTTAACAATTTCTTAAAAACTTACTTGAAGAGGGGGCGGAGCAAGATGGCAGAGGAGTAGGAGACCTGGATTTTGTCTCCTCTTAGGAATTCAGCTGGATAGGGATCAAACCATTCTGAACACCTACAAACTCAATAGGAGATCGAAGAAAAGAATAGCAACAACTCTCTCATCAGAAAAGCGACCACTTTCTGGAAGGTAGGACGTGCGGAGAAGTGAATCCAAGGCGATATTCGGGAGGAGAGACGGCGGG